AGACATTTCTGGCGATGAGCTTGAATGCGTCTGTCGTTGCGAAGTAATCTCCCCGTTCAGCATTAGTTCACAAATTTTCTTCTTAATTGTGATTGATTCTTCCCCTTCAAGTTGTAAAAAACTCTTGCATTTTCGCCATGAGATACTTGAATTACCAAACGTAAATACTTTTCTGTCTCCACCCGGTTGCGACCACTCTCCAACAAGTCTCAAAACATCATTTACAAATTGCTTCAGTGAATTAAAATCTCCAGACCAACCAATGCCTAAATTCTCCATTTCTTAACCGTGAACACGTATTTCAAGATTCATATAAGTAATATATGTTATAAACGTCGTATAATTTGTTAAAATTTTCAAATCGAAGAGCTCCCAAACATACGTCTGCTCGCTATACGTGTTATACTCACTCACTACGCTCGTTTGTAAAATATTGTTTTTACCACTCGAAGATAAAAGTCATATACGATTATCGTCCCCCTGTTTCAGGCCCCAAAGTTTTTCATCACCTTAGTTCATCACTTCAGGATACAAACGAATCTAGCTGTACTGTTTTGGCAGGAGACTTCAATCTTCCCGCACTTGACTGGACTACATTCGATGAACAAATCCCTACTGCTGGAGGTAAATTGGAAAACAGTTTCTGCGGTCTGAATGGCGATAATTTTCTCCTGAAAGTATTACGAATGTTGAAACATCTATATTCCCGAACAGTGCAAATTTCCTACCGATCATTATATCGTCAAATTTCAGATCAAACTTAAATTTAAACAGCTAGGAATGTCAAACGTCGAATTTACAACTACAAACTGACAAACTTTGAAGGTTTGCGTAACTGCTTGTACCAATATGGTACACTGTTTGTTAAATATATGGCATCAAATTCTCAATAAAAAAATACTTTCATTTGATTTGATTTGCAATATTTAGGAGAAGTCCTAGTTTTTAAACATTAAAATTATCATTTATCTACTGCAGTCTCACTCATAAGTTAAGCCGGGTAAAGTTATACGAGCAACAAAATTGCAGCAACTTGCAATAAATCTGATTTCAACGTATGTTAATTAGAAATTTGTACTAATGAGTAATGTTATCTCGGGTATCGCAACTTGTGTTTTGAAGTATTGGATGAAGCTGAGTAGGATATCAGAATTATTTAGAGCGAGGTCAGCATTATCTGCCGAAGCGAGATAACTCTGACCGAGGTCTGAATAATACTGATATCCTGCGTAATCCGAATTCAATAATTCTTTTATTATTCATTCTGTAACAAAAACAATCAAGTTGAAACCAAAATTAAAGACCAGAAGCAGCAGAAGCCATTGTCAAAACAAATAATTTTACAAAATTTCCCGCTCTTTTCCAATTCATGCAAAATACCGCTGCAAAAATACGCGGGCACCTACAGATACGATATTTATTGATTTATTTGTCGTGTTTATGTCTGCAACGAGATACGGAAAATTATCTGTAGGCTTTCAACCAATAACAATACGAGAAAATAGTACAATGAAGAATAATTTAATTTAGTATAACATGCGTTGAAATAAGATTATATTGCAAGTTGCTGCAATTTTGTTGCTCGTATTACTTTACCTTTAGTCAACAGCTGGCTTTAAAAATGAATATGCTATAATGCTAGGTACAGTAATTGGGTCGAGCTGCATAATGCACAGTGACTGTAATGTTTTGCACTTTCTCGAGTTCTCAAATATCTAAGTACGTGGTTCAACTGCCAAAACTGAGATCAGTTAGTCTTGTATCCATGTACCGAGTTTGAAGTTACATTGAGGTACTATAATGCTCCATTATTTCAGTAATTGACCAAGATCTCATTTGTATTTTATAGTTTGAAACGGAATATAACTCAAGTTTTAAAGCATTTGATCCAGAGATTTACACGTCACCACTGAGTGCAGCTCTTATTGATGAGCCAAGGAGTAGTGAACTTGACAAGACCAAACCACCTGCAGCAGGCTTAAAGTCAAATAATTTTTTAAAATCCGTAGAACCACCTCTTCAAAACAAGTCCAAGGCAGACCGTCGTCAAGACAATGAATCTAAAGACACACTGAGCAATGAAAAACAAAAGATTGATACAAAAAATAAGTCAAACTCTGAAGAAAGCGCTAGAAATAAAGCAAAGGTATGTCAGGATTTATTATAATTATACAAAAACACTGCAGATGAGGCTTCGCCAAAGCAAGCGCCTTTCATTTCTGAGTTTGTGGGTTTTATTCTCGCTACGGACTTATGTGAAAAGAGCCAGTCAACGCTCTGCCGAAAGTCGTCGGTCTTCTTCGGGGGCCCGGTTTCCTCCCACGGCAAAAGTTGACAGGGTGAGTTAGGACAAACACAGTTAATAATACAGTAATATCACAACTGCTGTAAAGATAAAATAGTCTAGGTTAAAGGTGATCTACAGTCCGTATGTAAACAAAGCCTTTGTTTACATTTTTGTGTCCAAAATATTGAGCTTTATTCGACAACTATTTATATTTTCAAGCTTCTAGAGTGTAATAAATGATCAAGAAACAACAATTAGGCTTTTCAAGAACTCAA